CAGTGTTAGACTTGGCAAAAGATGCCCCCTCTCCTCTGAGCTGCTGCCTTAGAAAAGATGCCCCCATCTGAATACCTAATGTGCTCCTGGGGCCTCTCCGGTAGCCCAAAGGAAAGCACCATGGTATGGGCAGGAGGGCCAGGGCGCTGCTGTCCTGGACCTGTGTGCTCTGGGTTGGGTGATCCAGAAGAACCTACCTGTCTCCAAAGTGACACATCCGGCCGCTTTTCGCCTGTTGTGAAACATTCAGGAATGTGTGTGCTCCTTCAGAGATTTGTAATTAAGAAGAGGCAGAACTAGTTCTTGCTTGGCATCCCTCCCTCCCTCCCTCCCTCCCTCCTCACACCTCCAGCATGTAGGTCATTTGATTTCATGATGGAGGTTTTGCAGCAGCCAGGACGTGGCGTCTGGGGCTGCACCAGACTGGATTGGGGTGAAATGCTTTCTTGGAGGTGGGGGCTGGGAGTTCCAGGCAGGCCCCCAAGTTTGGCCACATTTGAAAGCAGACATCTCTTCCCAGCTCACATTCTTGGCACTAGCCCAAGGGGAAACATCACAAGCCAGAGAAGCACCCACAGTTTCCCAGGGGGGGCCGGTTTAAACAGACAGTCCTCTCTCTGGCAGGAAAAGTGAGTGTGTGCACGTGTGTGTATGTGTGTGTTTAAATCCTTGAGCAGCTAAAAGCAGTTTTTCTTCATCCTGATTCTCTGAATGACACATCCCTGCACACTGAATAATTCATCTCCCTCTTGGCATTTGTTCTCGAGAGAATCTTGCTGTCCAGATTTCTTGTAAGTTGCATAGTCTTCCAATAGAAGTGTTTCTTTTTCCCATGAAATAGCTCTGGAAGTCAGGAGATCAGCCCTTTGGGTCGTTCTCTCCGACGGCACCCTGAATATCAAGCCCAAAGCCTTCCTTTCTCTTCCCGCTTGCTCTCTCCTTTGAACTTTGAGTCCCCTTGAGTCTCCTCTTTATCCATGTGGGGCACACAGTCTGTGCTCACAGCAAGTGCCAGAATGCCAGCCCTAGTGGGCTAGCCACATGTTGATCATATTGCTGATATTTGTAGTTAACCTTTCATTCCGTTCTGGTTTCTCAGTATCTAAGACTGGAACAATCTGTGGAGTTAATGTTTTTCTGGAAAACTGGCACATATTTTGGTGTTTGATTCCTTCCTCAGAGCGAGAGCTCAGTGAATGGCTTGCGTTGATGACTTTGATGGCTGGGAAACATTCAGTTGCCTTTTTATTAAGCAGCTCTGGGTTATCCAAGAGCATTGACTATCTTCTTGCCAAGTCATAGAGCCCTGAAGGCGCAGCCTGCTATGCTCCAGTGCCTTTTACCTGCTCAGGTTCCCTCCAGCTCTCCAGCCCCAAGCCAGCTTCATCACCTATCTCTGGCATCGCTTACTCTGACTTCCAGATTGTTCCGGGGCTCATATGGTCTTATTAATTTTTTTTTTTAACAAAGTTCAAATTTTGGAGTCAGGCGCTGGGGCTTCATGTTGTACTTCTAGTGTGACTAACTACATGATGTTGAATGTGTATTCGCATTTGTGAAATGGAATAAGAGCAACTGCTACCCAGCCAGAGAATATCTCTCTATGTGTGTGGTTATCTAGACCTAGATTTAACCATTATTAAATAATTTAATTACAGCTGATATTTGACCATTAAAAAGAAATAGGAAAAAGGAAAAAAAATATTTTTTGTATCCAGATAACATTTTAAAAGATTTATTTTATTTATTTATGCATAAAAGAACTGGGGTATAGACCAGAGGTGCATGGTGGGTGGTAAGAGGATTCACCAGAGACAGAATGGAGAACAGAATAGGCAGATCGACAAAGTACACTGCTGAGGGGAGCAGAGGAAGAGACAGGAGAGGTCTCTGCGCCATGTGGGTCACCTCCCTGGCCAGGGGGTGAACTCATGTTGTAGTGGCTGCTGAGACTTAACCCCTTGTTCCACCAGGAAGGCCCTCCAGATAAGATTTTAATACATGTCTTCCCAGTATCTCATCTACACACAAAGATAAACAAAATATTGTACTATGACTGTATCTTGTTCTCTTTCACCAAAGTTTTTCATAGTGTAATTTTAAAAAAAGATTTATTGATTTATGCATGCAGGGGTGGTGAGAGGACTCACCAGAGACAAGAGTGGGGAGCAGAACAGACTAACTGATGAAGTTGAGGGGGGGAGTGGGCGAGACAGGAGAGGTCTGCTGCGCCATGTGGGTCACCTCTGGGGCTGGGGATTGAACTCACACTGAAGCAGCTGCAGCCAGCTTGCAGTGCTGCACTTTAACCCATTGTGCCACCAGGGAGGGCCCTCATAATGTAATTTTTTACTGGTTTATTTCTTAGCTCATCTTCAACGTTAGCTAGCAAATTATATGACACTACATCATTATTTTTGGCTTCAACATATTTATTGTGCTATTTATTGTGCTATTCACCCACTGCACAAATAGTTACTGAGCATCAATTATAGGGGAAATAGGATTCCTCTACTTAGATGCACCATTAATGACATGTTTTACTTTGGAAGAGATTTGGAGAGGGAGAGATTTAGAAAGGTGGTGATCTGCACATAGGTTTTGGAGATGCTCTTAAGAAAGGATTTATCTCCTTGGTTTTCTGGGTTGAAAACTGTATAGTATGATTCCTATTATCCCAGTTAGGCTGGCAAGCAGGTGGGTCTTCTCGGAGAACAGTTCAGGGAAAGAAATGAACTGGAAGGAGAGGTTGGCAAAAGCCTCCAAGAGATTAGTCTATCCTCAGAAATAGGTTGATTTCCCCTGCAAGAGTACAGGTTTCCCCTATAATTCGAAAGTAGGTTTTTCTATATAGGATGATTTGATAGGTTATTTTTTAGGTCTGGGGATACTGTTTATATGAATTTTTTCCCCTTAGCCTTCTCAGGCTCAAAAAAATAACTTACCAAATCATTCCTAATAGGAATGTTCTACTTTCAGATAGCAGGAGAAACCTGTAGGTATGTTTTTCTTCAGTGATCCTTTTGCAGATTTGTTGGATAAAATGATATTAGAGGAACTTTGACTCTGAGTTGCTGGTTTTCATTCTTGTAAGGAAGCAGGAGCAACCCATTTAGAAAGTTTGAGGAGGCAGAAGAGCAGAGGTTTGTATGTAGCCTTTTACTTCTGAAGTCTGAGTAGCTTGTGGGGGGTAATGGTCAAATGGGATAAAGGCAGCTTTGTAGAAACTTTACCCACACTGGCACAGGAGCTCCTGAATGAGGAACATTCTGAGCCAAAGAAATCACCTGTGTCTTCCCCAGTTTGATTCCATTTACCCCAAGGCTTGTGGTTTTCCATGGAATTCAGACAATGCAGTGAAGTCATCAACTTTCAAGAGAACCTCTTCACTAGCAGCAGGGACTGTAAAGACAGATTGCCTTTCTTGAAATCCCAGCTTTGAAAGTGTCCTTTTTCTTGGCCTGGGTTTCCCCTCCTGGGAAATGGAGACATTAATAACTAATGCTTTACAAACACTCCTTTACATGAGGATCTGTGCTGAATTTCTTACAAACATGATCTTATTTAAGCTAACCACCAACCTGCAGCACTATCCCCTTTACAGATAAAAATACTGAGGCTCAGAGACGTTAAGTAAATTGTCAAACTCACACAGTGAAAAAGTGATGCCATTGAACTACTGGATAAAGTGTTGTGTCTAGTACATGCCATATATACCTCTGGCTTCATTGTCCCCCATCATACAGAAGTAGATTCCTTATTAGCAAAAGCTTTGGAGTTACCTTTTCATTTAGTCAGTAAGTATTATTCACAACATACGAGACCCTGACCCTGGACATACTGTGCAACCTAAACTAAATTAGTTCTGTCTACCGGAGGTTTGTTTGGTGTTTGTTTTTTCCCCATATATTTTACTTTAAGTTTGATTTGGAGTGGAACTAAGAGGGAAGAGAGGGAATAGTTTCCTGTGTCTTATAGAGCAGCTCAGATCAGGCTCCTAGATACCACTCAGGTGTCTTTTATCCTGTCCCATTGTTCCTTGGCTTGCCAACCTCTAGAATAAATAATTGCCTCCTGGGCTTCCAGAATTGAGTGCAGGTAGGGAGCAGAGAGGACTAGAGTGTTACAATAGATAACTGGGCAGGGCAGCAATGGGGAGAAATCGAAGGCCTCGCTGGAGGGCCCACTGAGGCTAACCATTCTGTGTCTCAATTTCTGGCCCCCTGCACACTGACTAAAATACCTGACAAATATTCTGCGTTATTTTCCAACCTGAACAAACCACTGTACATTCTGTTGGGTGATTTGTCTCTCTGAATTACCCACCGAAGACTGGGAGATCACCATGCTTCTCCCTGCTGCAGAGTGGAGACTTAGAGAGTGGTGACTGCTAAAATATCATTTTGACCTGGATTGCCTAGGAAAGGACAGCAATGGCTGGTACAGGCATTTGGGAACTGGCTCAAGAGGCAAATAAGTGCTGTTTCGGCCAAACTCATGGGGATGGAACATCTGCTATTGTAGATGCTGCAGAGAGTCAGCTTTCCAGAGGGGAAGCGGACATGACAAGCATGGGATAGAGCCAGGATGACGATTAGGGATGGGATGGGCCAGTGAGGTGAATGTGAAGAAGCCAGAGTGGCTGGACACATGGTCAGAAGGAAGAAAACTGACCACCGAACCCTTTCCCACCCCCCCCCCAGTTGCAGAGATGCAGAAACAGAGGCCCCGAGAAAGAAGGTGACTTGCTTGAATCCCTCCCAGGTTAGGAGCAAGTTGAGAGTGGATCTCAGAGTCCCTGCCTCCCCGCGGGTGATCTGGTCCTGCTGCTTTGGCCATGTGTCCACCTTCCCAGACAACAAGGATGGCAGAGCTTGTTTCACTGACCAAAGCTTCTGAATCATGGAGCTACCCGGGAGGAGCAGGGAGGTCATCAGAAGCAGGGGCTTGGAGACCACAGGTGATGGAGTCTTTTTCTCCTCTTCCTTGCCAGGTACACCAAACCGCTCACCTTTGCTGACTGCATTAGTGATGAGTTGCCGCTAGGATGGGAAGAGGCGTATGACCCACAGGTTGGAGATTACTTCATAGACCACAACACCAGTAAGTTCTTGGCCCTCCCTCACCTGTCCTCTCTCTCTCTCCTCTTCCCTTCCTCTCCCTCCACACCCACCCCAAGTCTGGAAGAACTACCAACAGATGCTCTTGATGCCAGATTGTGTTTCATTTTACATAATGTTAGCTAGAGATGTCAGTGTCGATATAGATAGATAATGTATGCTGTTTTAAATCACAATTTAGAAGGACTTTAAATAGAATCTAAGACTCCAACTCTTGCAACCCATCCCCGGTCTTATCGAGGCAAGTACAGTTAATGATGTCTTGTGTGTCATTCCAGGAAGTTCCTAGTCATGTGTGTGTATTTGCAGAGATGCACATATTCTTTTTTGACATGTCGATTTCTGTGCATGCAGATGTTTTTCATGAAAAGTAGATGTGTTCCTGTCGTTCCCAGCCAATTTTGGAGCAGCCGGAGCCCCAGGCAGTCCCCAGGAGCCACGAGCACATGCTTATAGAGAACTGACTGAATGTATGTGTCGCGAGCTCATTGTAGCAGCAGCCCTCCCTCCCTTTGTCCCTTGACGTGGGTGTCCTGATCCAGGAGGAAGACTCCTCATATCTATCTTAGTCTCTGGGGCTACAGTGGACGATGTGTTGGGAAAGGAGGGAGAAGCATGTCAGCTGGCAGGGAGAGGAATCCAGCTCGTAGCCACTGGCTGGGAAGAGAACATATGTGTGTGGGCCTCATCCTTTGTGCTCCTCTTGGCCAGCACTATTCCTGTCCTCTGAACTTTGCTGCCGCATTTGTCCAGGTTTACAGAGGAAAGAGGATTATTCTGTCTCATGCCCTACTGTCCCGAACTGTAGGATTCCCTGTATCCTATCAGACAAACAGAGAATGGAATGACATGGGCTGTGCCTGGCAACGCCTGAAGGGTGAAACAGGCCCCCATTCCCTAGCAGCTACTGAGCATGGACTCTGTGTCGTGTGCTGTGCGAGGTACTTGACAGACGTCATCTCCACTCAATCTTCCCAGCTGCCCTCTGGGATGTTAAGATGATCATCCTCAGCTTATAAATGGATTTAGAGGTAGTAATTGACTACTCACACTCGACACTAAAACACGGCAGAGCTGGACTTTGAACAGCACAGGGAAGCCAAATTTTGCTTCTCTGTCTGCTTTGAGTAGACAGTAGCGCTTGTCTATACTGAGTTTCAGTAGCACCTGGCCATAGCTCTGTGCCTCACAGCCCTCAGGAGTTGCCCCTTTACTGTTACTGCACGTTCTTCTTGAGCAGGAATTCATACCCCTTGTCCCAGGCCTTATTCCTGTAAGGTACATAGTAGGTGTGCACTTTGCTGAAAGGGAAGGGTCTATGTGCAGCAATGCCAGGATCAGAGCATGAATGAGCACACTGTTGTTGGCACCAAAGTGTAGAGGAGTTTCTTTGAGACAGCTAATGGCATTAATTGCATTGTTGGGGGTAGCAGAGGTTTTTATTAGCACTCATGATTGCATACTGGATAATGAGAAGTAAATATGCCTAATTGAGTGTGTATGGGGAATGAGGTTAATGCTTGGAGGGCTGCATGGCTTGCTGGGTTAAACACTGATGTACAGGAGCCCTAATCAGTCCTTTCCTGTTTCTAATTGCTGAGTGCATCCCCCTCATTAAAATCGGATAACAGAGTAAGATTTTAAGGTGCTTCTGGGAGTTGTTGGAGAGCTGGAAGGGAGGAGTAGCAAGCAGTAGGAGAGTATTCCTGAGGGGATGATGGCAGAAATAGGGCGTAGGGGAAGGGTGAGTAAATGGGAACCACAGCAGTAATCCATCTGGTAATTTTGCCAGCTGTCAGGTTCCTGGTTTCATTTTGGTTCAGAGGTGCTCTCAGTAGATGGAGGTACCCGCCTCTGTATATAGAGCCAGGGAGAGAAAGGCAGTTTGACAATAACCACTGAGACCCAAGCATTTGGAGTCATGAACCCAGACAGATCCTGTGTGTGTATTATTCATCGACTAAAGTTATTCTCGTAAAAGTTATAGACACAATGTAATTAAACAATGACTTGAATCCACCATCCAAAAGATTCATGTAGCAAATACTTATTGACCACTGACTATGTGTCAGACTCTATTCTAAAAGCTTTGGATGTGTGAGAGAGCGAGAGGCAGAGATCTTTATCCTTACAGAACTTTCGTTTAGACAACAGCAAAAGAAAATATACAGAGTAAATGAACAGATTGTATGGATTAGAAAATTTTCAGCGTTGTTGGAGAAAGGAGAAAGCAAAGTGGGATTATGGTATACTTAAGGAAGAAGATGTGGTTGAGAACCTCAGATTTGAGTGCAGGACATTTCAAGTAGAGAAGCTAGAAAGAACTAAGACTGTGAGGTTTGATTGAAGCTAGGGGGCTGGTGTGTGTATAGAAGGGTGAGTAGGGAGACAGGGAGAACGTGGGGCCAGAGAGTAGCAGGGCACAAAAAGGATAGTGGGCTCTCTCCCTGGCTTTTGCTCCATGAGAAGTGGGAGTCACCAGAGGGTTTTTAGCAGATGTGTGATATAATCAACTCTATCTCTTAAAAGAGTGACTATGGCTGTTGTGCTGAGAATAGGTCTTAATATGGGACAAGGACAGAAACAGTGAGAGTTGTGAGAAACAATGAAATAGTCCAGAAGATTGAAGACAGCGCCCCAGACTAGGCAGTAGGGATGGAGGTAATGTGGATGCTGGCTCAGCCCATAAGGCGTGCTGATGGAACACGTGTGGGCGAGAAAGAGAGAGAAGAGTTTGATCCTGTTGCTCCCGAGTAACTGGTGGGATGGCGCTGCCCTCAACTGGGTGGAGAAAACTACAAGAGAGTGAGCTTAGGGAGGACGAACAAGAGTATCTGTACATGTCAACATGTCAAGTCTGTGTGCCTGTTACACAACTAGGAGAAGCTGCTGCAGGTCAGTTTGACAGGGGAATCTGGAGTTTGGGAATGAGAACTGGGCTTTGGATTGTTTTGGGGATTGTTGGCATAAAGGTAGCATGCAAGGGGGTGAAGCTGGACTAAGAGAAGAGGACTCGGGAATGAGGCATGGTGTCCCCAGACAGTAAGGGAGGGAGGGGAAGAGGAAAACCAGATGTGACTCTGAGGAGTGATTTGAGAAGTGGCAGAAAACCTGAGGTGTCTGAGCGGACTGTGTCAAGGGAAGGGTTGTCAGATACTTCTGACAGATCGAACATGAAGAGGGCTAACTGATGGCCAGGGCGACACCAGTGACCCTGACCTTGGAGGGCAATTTTGGACAAGGATTGGAGACAAAAGCCTGACAATAGTGAGTCTGAAAGAAAATAACAGGATGAAATCGGAAGGGTGATGTAAATCAAAATACAATGACCAAAAATGAAGTCTTTCCAAATATATAATATAACCTGTTTTCAACATCTCACACAAGTGTTCAGCATTCCCACTGACAATTTCCATCCATCAAAATCCAACTAGTGACCAAGTTATGTGCTTTGTTATTTTCTCTACATGCCATATCGTGAATGTTTGAGAGACGTTACATCACATAGATGTATCAATATATTTTACCACATAAAGCAAATGTAACCTAATGCCTTTATTCCTATTAGACTCTTTCCCTTTATATATTAGTATAGATAACTAGGAGTAAGAACTTCCATCACATTGCTTTTTTGCTTATGTAATAATTTTCCAAAGATACATTTCCATACATAGGATTACAAAAGTGAAAGGTCATGGGTACTTTTGAGCTTCTGGTCCAGATTCCTACATTGATGAGTATTTCTGAAAGATTCTGTCCCTCCACCTACCCACCCATCCATCCATTGTCAAGAGATAAGGGCATTCTTTTTTCCTAACACCCTCATCAGGATGGGCTATTCCATTTCTTTCATTTTTGATGAAATCATCCTAGGTTTAAACTGTTACATTTTCACTCACATTCCTTTGCATAGTAACAAGATGAATTGTTCTCCAGATGTTCTGCTATTTTTAAGACACTGGTTGTTGTTGAAGCCCTTGGAGAATAGAGTAGTGTTAGCCATGTGAGTGGGTAGGTGTGTGGTGTAGAGGAGGTGGGCTGTGGAATGCACGAAGAGCTCATGAGTGTGGTGAATATGTGTAAACACATGTGGAATGTGTTTTTAGATAGAAGTTTGAGCATGAGGGAGAAGGAAGATTTCTCAACCATGGCCATTCTCAGCTGTACATTTGTTGGAAAAAGCTGCCTTTTGGGAAGGGTGACCTGAGGAAGAAATTATTGGAGGAATAATGTTTTAGCCAGCTAAGTTTGTAACCTACTGAAGAATTAAACATTACCTATATGTAGCTTTTAATAAAAACGAAAGAGTAACAATGGCTGACCACATGATCTGTAAGACCCTGTCCAAGCATAAAGTCATCTATTCCGGAGGGTAGTGTCAGCCGAAGTGGGGTGCTGGAGGAGGAGCCTCTCAGAGTGAGACTGTTTAGAACCAATGGCAGTTGATACCACTCCTTAGACCCGCCCAAGTTTCTCTTAAAATCCCAGTGCCACCCACAAGGGGCCTTCTCAGCAGTTCCATCTATAACTGGTATCTACATGGAATGGAAGTGCACGTCCAGTTCTACCACTGCCTCACACCCTATGCCCCCAAAATGCAAAATGATCCATAGACTTTAATATAAAAGGTAAAACTAGAACATATGTAAATGAAAACTTGTAAGATTTTAGGTGGAGCCAAGATTTTTTAAACTAGACACAAAAAGCACTAACCCTAAAAGTAAAATTAATTGGGCTGCATTGTATTAAAACCTCCATTCATCAAAAGACACTAGTAAGAAATAGACATGTATTAAGTAGATAGTATTGTGATAAACAGCTGGACCTACATCAAATTAAAAACTTTGTGTACAGTAGAAGAGAGATTAACCAAAACAAGGAAACAACCAATGATTGGGAGAAATTTTTTTTTTAAAGATTTATTTATTTGTGCATATAGAACAGGGTACAGACCAGAGGCTCAGGGGCGGCGAGAGGCTTCAC